GGACTACAGGTGTCACAGTTTAAAAGGAAAACAGTTGCAGAGAGTCCTGGAGTTATGAGACAAATGTCCTTCATCAGCGTTCAGTTCCTTCTCGAGGGGCAGTTCACAGAATTGGGGGACATAAATTCGAAGAACACCTTCCTGTTCACCATCCCGGAAGTGGAGCGCTAGGCAGTCCCTTTGAATCACATCCTTCTGTAATTCCAAGAAACAGCCTGATAGTGGGAAAGTTCAAGTCATCGGGCAGCTGCTTACCACTAAAAATGTAGTTGTTTATTGTCTAGAGAAGTGGTCGCTAAGTGTTCAAGGCACAAGAGCCTGCAGCATGTGGTGGGCATAATGGTCCTTTCTCTCAGACTTTAAACCAAAAGTTCAAAGGAAAAAGGAAGTAGGGCTGGGCCTTAACCTTATGAAGATGCTTTAGCCAAAACATTAAAGAGACTATGCCTACCCCTTTTACCATGACACTCACTCATTACAGCCGAGTTGGAACCACAGCTGACCATCCAGCAGGTTTTCAGAGGCTGTAAATTGCATGGGATGCGACCACCCATCTTTTTACCCATGGAGCAGCTGGTGGATTCAAACCATCTGTCTTTCAGTTGGCAGAGTAACTCCTTATCCACCAGACTACCAGAGCTCTACCATTACAGGTGTGGTAAACCTATCACACACGTGGAGCCCTGGAAAATGCGGAACAGCATGCCTGTCAGTTGCACCCTGGGTTGGGCTTCCCTTACTCTGCAATGAGCTTCAACACAGCCGTCACCTGATTCTTTGGGCTGCCTCGCTTGTTCGCAGTCAGCTCACACACTCTGCAAAGTCTAGGGCCAAGGTTCCCAGAGCTGTCCCGTGCTTACCCTTCCTAGGACTTGGTTGCTCATTTCCCCAAGATTCACTAGCTCTGGAATAGCCTGCAGCCTTTTCTTGTTTTGTTTCCTACTTACAGCCGAGCTAGGGCAGAGCATTTGAGGTGCTTCTTCTCTCTAGAAGTTTCTGATTCATCAGATGTTGGCCTGCCATACCCGCGTTCAAACCAACCCAATTCCTTGCCTGAACTACTGCAGCACACACTCTTCCTAGAAGCAATCTCACTGCTTCTCCTCTTACTTCACTATGTATTCTCTGCAAAGTGTAACGTGAACTTAAAGATTTTAACCAAGACACTCTGATCATAACTCTTCAATAAGTCAGTGACTTTTCCATGGTCTTAAAATCTAAAATCCTTCTTTCCTAACTTCGCCTGTCTCACATCCTTCACATGTGCTGTTCTGGGCCCGTCTGTCCTGTGCTGAGCTGAATGCATTTCTGCTCATTCAATGCTGGCTGAGGGACCACTTTCTCAGAAGCCTTCCTTGTTGGCTCACTCTCCAATCTAGATGGCGACTCTTGTTTTTCTTTTCTTTTTAAATAGTACCTGCTCTTCCTCTTCATGTTTTTTTAATTAAGACTTATGATTACAAATCTATTTTGGTGATTTTGTGACATATCAGTCTCCCCCACAAGACTCTCAGGCCAGCACACACACTGGCATTTAATAGGAGATGATGAGTGAGTAAGAGACTAGCGTAACTAGAGACTAGCTGAGATGTAAGAAAAGTGAATGTGAGTGCTCGTGATGGACAAGGAACAAGACAGATGCAGAGAGAACACCTCACAGAACTCAGAGGGCAGGTGGTAGGGAGGAGATACTACTTTAATAGCCAGATGCTACCTGACTCACGGAAGAAAGGGTTGACGAGAGCTGCATTTTCAAAACCAGGTAGTGACTGGTGGTTAGACTTGGGGAAAAACTATTACTGCTGGTCTTAATCTTACTGGTGTGCTTTGTTGAATACTGTCAAGCTGAAACCATCCATAGCTGACCCTCCAGCAGCTTTTCAGAGGCTGTAAATCACACAGGGAGAAGATTGCTCCTCTTCCTCTGGTGGATTTGAACTGCATACCTTCAGGTTGGCAGTGTAATTTCTTACCACTAAGTCACCAGCTCCCTAAACATACTGGTAGGAGATGACAAAGGCTATTAGATGTTCGGCAGGGAGAAGCCAGAGCTCAGTGGCCTGGAGCATAAATGAAAGGCAGAGCAAAGGTGCAGAAGGGGAACTGAAGCACGTAAGCCAACTCTGACGTGAAGGGACAGATTTAATCATTTTCACCAATAGCTACCCAAACAGGATGGGCAGGAGCAGCCTGTGTGTTGGAAAGGACCATGTACCATATAGTCTAATCTTGTCATTTCACACAGGAAGAAAACAGAAGCTCATAGAGATTAAATTGTTTGATCATGATTGCAAAACGAGTCAGGAACAAAGTCCTCCAGCTCTCTTTTCCTGACTTGAAATCCAGGTTCCTTGAGATTACAACCCAGAAACCTACCTTTTCAGACAGGCCTACTTTACAGCGAACGCTCAACAGCAGACGAGTCCAGCTCCCGAGAGTCAAGGCAGGCAAACAAAGGCGAGACTTCATTTCCTTCATTTATTAAAGATGGCAAGGAACTGTTAGGCTGCGTTAAGAACTACAGCGAACAGAAATGCACATCGGAACGTGAGTTACATACACACAGAACACCTTGATTTAGACTCTTGATCCTTTTACATTAATTCAACAAAAGCTCTAAAGTCTTGGCAGAGAAAGTCAGCAACAGCCTCATTTAAGTGGAACATACTTGCCTCCTACTCTTCCGCTGTGTCCTGAGTCTTGTCTCCACCATGTAAGCCAATTGTTATCCCTTCCCATTATTTAGACAGAACACTTCTGCCCTCCATTCATCAAGGAGGAACTCTCTTCAGTGCATTCAGAAACTCCTCTGCCCACATAGCAGGGGGGCTTCGGATACTGATAAGTTGCAAAGTGCTTTCAACACATCCCATCCTGTGTCCTCTTGTCCCTACTCTCACATAAATAAGAGGTTATTTGGACGGTGGGTGATGACAGTAGGGAGTCAGGGTCACTAAAAGAGATGTGCAGTCTTCTGGGGTGCAGGGTGGAGTGGGGATGGTGAATGAGAGTACGTGAAATCACAGGGAGGGGCTGCAGGCAGCCCGGCTCAGCCTTGGCAGCCCCGCTGGAGTTCTATTCTTTAATCCTACGCTAACACGAATCAGGCAGGACAGACATCTGTCCTCCAGTGTAGTGACTTGGTTTGAGCAGGTGAATGTGTCAGTTAAACCCCAACTGGGAGGAATGTTCATCATTTTGTTTACAAGCTTGCTTGGGAGTCTAACCTTTATGTGCGACTTGAGTTTTGTGAGGCTGTTCCCAGAGCTTCAGTCAGTCCTGCAAATGTGGGTTGGGCTGAAGGCCTGGGCTTTTCCAGCTTCACTGCCAACTGAAGGCAGAACAGCCTCTGGGTCTGTCAGCCTAACGCAGCCCTCAGATCCCGAGTCCGAGGCAGGGGCCCCAGACCATGGGCCGATTCTGCCTGAGCTCTGGTGTTAACGCTCCCTTCTCCTTCCTTATGAGATGCCCTGTTCTCTCCAGCTTGGTCACTCTTCAACTTCCACCACCCATGTGCAACTTTCTGGTCAGCTTCCTGGGGAAGTACACAAGTCACCCATTTTCTATTAGCACCTAACCAGGGGTAGACAGGCGCACGGCAAGAATCCAGCCTCAAAACAAATGTGCTGTGGGCTTGAGTTCACAGAGCTGCCAGCCCTCGGGGGAGCGACCCTGAGGGCCAGTGTTAGACCCACGGGGCAGAAGGGAAAGCAACTCAAACACTACTACAGACACAGGTAAGGTCCCTCATAAGTTTCCTTATCCAAATACATTTTAAAAGGGGAAAAAGGGTTAAATTTAGTAATATGAAACGGATGACTGAATACATGAGTAGCGCAAGGCAAGATAAAGAGTTAAGTGCATAATTGGCATAAAGGCTCTTGTTACTCCAAGAACACGAAAGCATACACATTCAAAGCCACAAACTGTCAAGTTCCAGAACATCACTAATAGCAGGAAGCTTCTCCCCCATGTACTTTGGGGAAAAAAACGAAAGAAAGAAACTAAGGCAAGAGATCAACCAGCACGGAGAATCCCAGCTCTACGGCAGGAAGGGCAAGGAACATGGAGTCGGGCCACCCTGTTACTAAGAACCACAATGACCGAAGAAGGCGTGACAGAGCAAGGATTCTCTAGTAAGAAGGTACATGGGTTTTCTATCTTCATCTTGGGATGGCATCAGGGACTTGCCTGAAGATCGTATTGGCACCAAAGAGCTAGGTTGACTAAAAGGGACCTTAACCTAGAAGAGGGCCAACATCTTCTCTGAAGAAATGCTCTTTAAGCAACAGAGTTGCAGGCTCACTCATGCCTATTGTTAAGGGTATAAATGGCCCGGGCCATGGTTCCTCCCTTGGCACCAGGTCCACTAGTGTGGATAAAGAGAGTTCGTTGGTGGCCCCCAGTCCTAACTGCCTCCCTGAGGTCTCTGGGGGTCCCAGGGGAGCACTAATGCCATCTGATGGGCATGGAAAGACATAAATACTCTGGATAGAATGCCCATGATGCAGTGCTCCTCTTCTGTCATTTCTCGTCAGGGCACAGGCTGAATCTATTATAGGTTCTGGGAGAGAGAAATTCCACCCCTATTTCAGCAGCAAGGAGAAATGAGTTGGTTGAGAGAGGCCTGGCTTAGAAGCGCCACTTAAAATAAGTGGAAATGACATCATTTGAGAGCAGATGCAACAAGATGTAGTCCTTGAGGAAAAGGCCATGGATATCAGAAGAACTAGGTGTGGCTGTCTATTCCTCTGACGGAGGCACTAGAAGCTTCATTTAAGGAGTGTGCGTGTCAGTTCTGATGGAAAAAAACCCTGGTGCATACAAATTATCCAAAACCACAGGCCGGATACCACCAACCTAACTCAAGCCAGAGAGGATGGTGTCAGACAAGTCATAAAAAAATAATAATAATATTAATGACAAAAAGCCCAAGTGGGGAAAGTCCTTAAAAGGGTGGCTCAGTTCTGCATTTTGGGGGGTTCTCTTCCCTCGACAGGTGCACGGGCTTTCTTCAGGTGGTCTCCAGGACGGTGGCTTCGAGGGCCAAGGCTTCCGTGGGCTCCTCCTCGTAGTCTGACAGGTAGGATTCCAGGCTCTGCTTGGTGAGCAGCTCCCTCCGGGCCTGCAGGCGCTCACATCGGGGACAGCTTCCAGTCTTGAAGCAAGCTTTATGGTAGCACGCTTTACATTCTACTCAGGTTAGGATGGCGAGAGAGCGAGGGGGAGAGGGAGAGGAAAACAGTTTGTATTATCCACTGACCATCCATCCTATGGTAAAGCACAGGGAGCCCCTGAGGCAGACCAAATCTCATGCAGTGAGGGGCAGGGGTTGGGGAGGCATGGTGAAGGGAAAGCTTTGAGTTCTGTCATGTTTGGCCCGGTCCTAACCCCAGCCCTCACCTTCACAGGTCCGGCATTTATGAAGCTCAAAAGGAAAGATGATGTCATCCCCATTCTGACAGAATTCACAGATGAAGCCCTTGGCTTGGCAGAGCTGTGGAGGAAAGAGGTGGCAAAATGAGGAATAAGAACTGACACACAGGGGAGTGGAGGGGGAAAATGTAAATAAAAACTGAGCGGACTTGAAGGGCTTCCACTGTCCACAGGCCTTCTGGTGGTAAGGAATTGCACTGCCAACCCTAAGGTCCACAGTCTGAATCCACCCACTTCTCCATGGTATAAAGATGGGCAAAATCTCCTTCCGTGTGACATACTGCCTTTGAAAAGCCTCTGGAGGGTCAGCTATGAGTCGGTTCTGGCTTGATGGGACTCAACAACAATAATTACCCACAGAGAAGGCACAAATTCAAGAAATCCTCACCACTCAGGTGGCTCTCAAGGAAGGGAGGAAAAGGATTGAATAGTGCTATAGGGAATTCTTAAAATCAATATCCTAGCCTAGTAATGATTGGACTTACAGAAATCATAGCTACTTAAATCTGTGAAGATAAAATGTAAAGGGTAAGGATGTTTCACCCTATCTTGTATCAGGCTATAGCAAAATCTTTCCAGTTCCCCCTGTCAAACAACAGTCTTTGTTTTTTAAGAATTTTATGCTCTGATTCAGCAACTACCACAAGGATACAAAGTGGGCATATTCAAAAGTATCAAGTTCTAAAGGAAGATCTTCTGGCAGATCAAGTGCATAAAGAACAGTAATAATTCACATGTGTAGAAGAAAGTTTAAAAAATGGCCTAGTGGCAAGAAACTGCACTGCAAACCCAGAGGGGCATGGTTCGAATCCACCAGATGCTCTGCTGGAAAAGGAGAGATAATCTCCTCCTGTACCAGTCAGATCTGATCTGAAGGTGTACACACACACACACACACACACACACACACACACACACACTAATATAATTAAAAAATTCCATCAACCCTCAAAAATATGGAAAGGACAATAGGTAGCATTTTCATTTTAGAGGCAAATAAAATCTCAGAGGTGCAAAATATTTCATTGGTTTAATAACAAAAAATGATAAAGCCAGGAAGACCCAGTCCCTTTTCCCTGTTTCAAGGCTCCTTCTACCACTGTGGAGACACCTGAGGGAAACCTGCCAGTTCAAGCCCGAGCTCCCCAGGACCAAATTCTCTTGTAAGTCTAGGTGATGTAGATCTGCTGTTTAGCAGCCCAGGAAAAAAGCACAGCAATACTGTTCAGTTTCTCTCACAGTGTGAACGGGCTGTTTTAACTTTCTGAAGCCAAACAATAAGAGCCCTGTGTCTATTCCGTCTGTCCACATCCCTAAGCCTGGGACCAGGGGCACCAAGACATCTCACCATGCATCTCTCCACATGAGAGGCCCCTGCCCTGGCGAGCTCAGCAAGCCGGGGCCCCAGCTCCCCCTTCCTGGTTGCCGTCAGGTCATTCAGGGAGTAGAGGTGCAGGTCCTCTGTCAGGTGGCCCGGAACCGTGTCAAAGGAATCCAGCAGCCTACGGAGAAAGAGTGAAGGGAGGATGAGCAGAGGGCGCACATTGCGTGGGACACAGCACAGCGGAAGGGTCTCTATCAAGAAGCCGGAAAGAGAAGGGTTCCAGGTAGAGGACGTAAGAGTGGGCAACACGGGTAATCTTGGAGCCTCGTGACAGCCTGGGTATTTCTGTCACAGTACCAGGTGTCTGGATGGCAGAAGTGACTTTTATGATCTCTTACAACAAGATCCATGCCAACTTATGAAGAGGAGTCAGCCTTCCCTGGATAAAATAACCATACACTTCCCCTTCTGGAGAGGAGAATACAGACCAGTTACTGCTGTGTTTTCTCATTCACTATTTTTGGGATTTTCTTGGGCTCTCTCCTTTTTCATATAACAATGGCCAGTTGACGGGCCATGCCTCTTTCAGGGATAGTAACTCAGTCAGAGCCTGTGGCCTCCACGTAAGACTTACTCTTTGGCCAGTCGGCATGTCTTGAACATGTTCTTCATGTGATACAGCTGGATCCGTAGCAGCTGAAGAGAAAGACATGGCAGGGTAGGAATAGGTGGGCAGGGAGGGTGGGAGAAAAGAGGGGGAAAACTTCTGTTAGGATTGTAAGAAGGGTCCCTACATATCACAAGTGTTAAGGTTCTGGACAACCAGCCAAAAGGTTAGCAGTTCAAACCCACCTACAGGCATCTTGGAAGTAGTGCTGGTGGTCTATTTCCCAAAGGTTATGGTCTTGAAAACCCTATGGAGTGGTCTACTCTGCACACATGAGGCCGCCAGGAGTTAGAACTGACTTAAAAGCCCCTAACAACAGGCTATTGTTGTAGTTGTCAGGTGTCACTGAGTCAAGTAGGACTCACAGCAACCCTCTGAGCAACAGATCTGAACCCTGTCCTATCCTGTGCCATCCTCACAATCTGACACACTCAAGACCACTGTAGCAGTTACTGTGTCAATCCACCTGGTTCAGGGTCTTCATCCCCTTTACCGACCCTCCAATCTTCCAAGCATGATGTCCCTCTTCAAGGAACAGCCTCTCTAAGCAACATGCCCAAAGTATGTGAGATGAAGCTTTATCATCTTTGCCTCCAAGGAGCACTCTGGCTGCACCTTCTCTAAGATGCATCTGTTTGTTCGTTTGGCAGTCCATGTTATCCAACACCTCAGTTCAAAGGCATCAATTCTACAATCCTTTATTCATTGTCCAGCTCTCAGATGCACAGCAAGTGACTGGAAAGTTGATGGCCTGAATCAGGCGCACCTTAGTTCTCAGACTGGCATCACTGCTCTTCAATACTTTGGCAAGATCCCTGGCTATAGACTTTCTGAAGACATCTCCTAACTGTACCAGTCAAGACCTTTAAACCTTGAGGTCTGGAAGCTTTGTATGCCACAGCTAGAGCTGGACTGTCTTCTTCCTTTCTACTCAATTACTCACTCCAAAGTGGCCTCTAGTCAGGAAAGCCCTCTCCGTCACAGATCCTAGTGTGCTGGGTAGTCTGCTCAAACCATGCACAGGCTAGGAGCAGCTGAGAAGAGAATTCCAGAACTGGGCTTTTCCACCTATTACTCTGGTCGCCAATCAAAAGTGTTTTCCATAAAGGGAGAAATCCTGCCTTTGCCATCAAGCCTGTTTATAGCTCCAGAGCTGCCTGTGCTGGGGTGGAGACCCCAGTGAGCTAAATCTCTGAGAGAATAAGAAAGTAAACTTAGAAGGGCGGGATGGTTACAGTCCTGACACCATGATGATGGACTCAGGGAAGTCAGTATATAAAGAGTGAGGAGGGACTGAGAGGGGAAAGCATCTGTGACGTGACCTTACCCGGACTTGATTGAGCAGCTTAACCTTCCTATAGAGAGCACAGTTGATGTCCTGTACATTGAACAGCGGATCGTTCCAGATCTTAATGAGAAGGTCCTTGGAGAAATTGCTGACGTAGTACTTGCTGAAGTCCCACTTGCGCAGGATCCGGCTCGGGATGATCATCTGGGCGTTCTCATGGCAGCACTGACAGAAGTACCTGCCCAGGTACTCACAGTATCGAAGCCGCTTGATGTAATCTGAAACAAAACAGCAAAATCAAAGGAAGATGTCACTTGCTCTTATAAAAGCTGAAGAGGGAGCACGGCTGCTGTTGTTAGGTGCTGTCAAGTACAGCGGACCCTCCAGTGGGTTCTTAAAGACTGCAAATCACATAGAAGGAGATTACTCATTTTTCTCCCTCAGAGCAGCTCGTGGACTTGAACCACCAGCATCTGGGTTTGCAGCACAACTCTTTACCTCTAGGCTATCAGGGCTCCCTTCACTAGAGCCCGTGAAGCAGCACTGTTATATCTGTGAAAGAACAGGAAGGGCGGGCCGATGGGCTCTACCCACCTCTACCTGAACTCCCCAACAGAGACAGAAACCCACAAAATGAGCCCTGATTCCCACCCTGGATGCCACTGAGACTCAACCCTGCTGGAGTTGGTAGGACCCAAAGATCTGGCCATAACCAGGAACTTCTCTTTAAGGATGTAATCCTGGTTATGTTCCCAGAGTAATGGCCCTCTGATTGCTACAGTTCTCACCTAGACTTAACCCTTCCCCTCCCAGCCACTTCTCTCCCTCTTTCCCTAATTCTGCCTTACTGCTTCCTCTTACTGCTGTTCTGAACAACTCTCTTCCACGTGTTAAGGGAAGGTAATATCTTTGGAAACCCTAGGCCAAGCCTGGCTTGCCTTGCTCCTCGGGGCTGAGCAAACCTGCATGTCAAACACAAGCCTGGAAAAGCACTCGACTCCAAAAGCTTGCCATAATTCCTGCACTTTCACCTCCATGCTTCAAGGTGACACTAACCCCAAAGGGAGTAGAGAGAGGAGGCGGCCTTGTTCTTCCTGGTTGGCTCCTCCCAGGGTTGCTGTGACTTCTCCTTACCAGAGGGAGCATGGGGGTGAAAGCACAGGAATTACGGCAAGTTTTTGGAGTCCAGTGCTTTTCCAGGCTTGTGTTTGACATGCAGGTTTGCTCAGCCCCCAAGAGCGAGGCAAGCCTGCGGCCCTTGGCCGCGTTCAAATTGTTTTCCTGTCAAACATTCTCCTAGGTGGTATAGCACTGGTCTGTTCATTGCTGCACAGAGGTAACTCGTGGTTGCTGTGATGCTGAACACTGTGATACTGATGAGTCAAATGTGACAATGGGTACCCATACTGGACAGTGTTGGCTGGAGCTTCCCGACTAAAACAAGCCTGGAAGAAGAGCGGCATTCACTTCCGAAATGGCTTGCCTCCGGAAACTATGTACGAACAGTGCTCAGGCCTTTTGTTAACTGGGTCGCTATGAGGCATCTATGACTCGACGACACCTAACAACAACAACAACATCTTTGGAGGCAACATGACCAGATACTCACCAGGGTCAGTCCGGATGCCGCATCCCGCACAGCGGTAGTTCTGTTTGGCCACGGCAATCTTGCGTCTGAGGAAAGAAGAAAGAGAGGAGACTGGTAGACACCAGAGACAGGAAGTCTCTACACTGTAATAGGGAAGATGCAAACATATGGGTTTTGTTAAAAATGGGAAGGGGGAAATCTTTTCTCTTTTTAAGGTTGAATAATATGAATCTATTAGGAGAACTAAATGAAACAGACTATAAAGCAAATATTGAGGTCTGGGCAGGGACTCTTCTCAACAGTGAACCAGACTTTCTGTATGAGTAAGAGTTGTCTTTAGAGCACGCAAAGACAGAACAGAGTTCATTCATGGTCACTAGGGAGGAGGAAAAGGGAGAATCACTGTTTGGATAGGAATCAGTGTTTATGAGAAAAAAAAAGTTTGCAATGTTTTTCTTGCCAACAGGGACCAGAAAAGGAGGCCCACTGTCACCACGACCAGGGGACAAAAAGAGAATCATGGCAACCCAAAGAGTACACATCCATTTCTCAGAGGACAGCCGCTGGCTACTCACGTTGGAGCTGGATGAACATTAAAAATTATCTGTGGCCGGGGTGGGGCCCACTCCAGGTTCCCGCGAACACGGATTCGCAGCTTGTAGATGTCAGCGTGCTGCCCGTCATCTGGGGAGATGGGCAGCGAGTCGGGGATGGGCAGGAGCTGCAGGGGAAAAGAATAGGCTGGCGTACCATGGGAGGCCTGGGGAAGGCCTTACACCTGGCCTTCTGTTCATAACACAATAGAGAAGGAAAGACATTTCAGAAACACCACAGGTAAGGCCTGCAGGGAACCCTGGTCCTGGAAGCAAACGAGGTGGCATGAGGGTCCCTGAAATGAGGGCTTTTTCTGGGGCGAAAGCACCCACTGCTGATGCTGTCCCTCTCCCCACCCTCAGAATCCCTGGTACACCAAGAATGCTTCAGGCCTTAAATACAACTACAGAGAGGAATCAGAACAAGTCTCCTTTGTAAAGTATCACAAAGGCACTCGCAGCTCAGGGCGTAGTGCACAAGTCATATGGAATAAGGACAGCGAGGGAGTCATTATCTCCTGATTTGACCACCATCAGGGAATGTCTAGGCAAGCATTCACTCATTCATAATGAATGCTCTCTATGGAAAAGGAAACACACCAGCTCATGCAGGGCAGGGAGACAGAGAACAAGGTCAGAAAGGCCTGCAGCCTCCTGAGGTTGGACAGGCAGAGAAGAGCTAAAAACCCCTACCTTTTGAGGAGCATCGTGCTCTGGGACGAGCCACTCTAGCTCAGAGGCGGCTGGGAGCTGCATCCCCTCAAACTGCTTCAGGAGCCCCATGGCCACTGCCTCTGCAGACGTGGAGTTCAAGAAGCAGTGGGAACTGGAAAGGGGAGAATGAAGGAAGGCTGAGCACAGGGGGGAAACAGGGAGGTAGGAGCCCTTTCTCCAGGCTCTGCTGAAACCCACAGTGACACCTGGACCGACCTAACATTCAGAACCTCCAGACTGCTCAGCTTCTTCCCTCAGCATCTTCAGAGATAGGTGATAAAGTGACAGAAGTGCTCAATTTACAGCCATAGAGCTAAGCTCAAACCCTAGTTGATCGCTTTGTGGCCACGCCTCGCACTGCCAGTTAAGGGCTGTGTCACTTCCCTTCTCTATATTTCAGTTTCTCTAAGTGCAGAATTAAGTCTACAATGCCAGTTGACCAGACCAAGTGAGTAAAACTGCTCTGTGGACTCTGTGTCAAGCCTCCTCCAAACAAGCTATTATTTCCCCTCGCTGGGTTCAATGTCATTTCACAATCACAGTCATGACCGCGGCCTCCTTTGGAGACCTGAACTTGGGGGTGTCTGGCATGATCAGAGTGCAGCAGAGAACAACACGTACTGTGAGCTCTGCCACTGGAGTTCCTACTAGAGCTCTTCCATCACCCTCCGTTGGGCTCACCATTTTAACCTTGTCCTGTCATGACTGTCATCTCTCAAACGAAACATGCTTGTTCCTATCTGGACACCAAGAACTAGGTATAATTCTTTACATCTCTCACCCTTCAAGGTTTTATAAAAAGGTACTTACAAGGTTTGGGAGGAAATGAAGGTCTTGCTACTTGAGGCTGTGTTCCTTCTGATGTCAGCATCTGAACAGAAATCAGGGGTGAGAGAGGCAGCAACAGAAAGGGAGGAAAGGACGAAAGGGACCACTCCATGGTGTAGCAGGCTAAGCACTGGGTGTGACAGCTAGGGGCCACGTTAGGACAATGGACAGAGTGCACTGGAGACTACTCAGGGAAGCTCACTCACAGACTAGAACTTGGCTCTGTTCATGCCACACCAGCTTGTATTAGTAACAGACACACAGCACTGAGGAAGGAAAAGTGGTGATAAATTCAGGTGCAAACACAAAACTCAAGACCTGGCACAAAACAGTAAATGAGAAAAAGATGCTTCCTAAGACACAGGGACACGCTCTTTAGCAAGTACAAGTACAAAAATCAATTACTCCAATCTCTCTCTCACTCACTACATCTCAAGGTCTCTTAGACGATTATGTCCCAAAGGCAAGAGCTCTGTCTAGGTCTCCAGGTCTCAGGAACCTAACACAGAATTTGGACCACAGCAGTTACTTGCTACATGTATGTGGAACCGGAACTTAGCTTCTAACGTCTTCTTAATGTCTGGTGGTCTAATATCCTTGAATATTAGAAGCCTTCCATACCCTTAACAAATGACATGGAAAGATTTCTCTCCTGTCTGGCTGTAGTTATAGTTAAGTATTATTGTTGAGTCAAACCAACTCATAAGCTGACCCTCCAGTAGGTTTTCAGAGGTGGTTAATCACATGCAAGAAAATGTCCCTTTTTCACCCATGGAGCAGTTTGTGGATTCAAACCATAAACCTTTGAGCTGGTAGCACAACTCCTTAAAACTAAGCCACCAGAGCTGCTATGTCATAGCAAAAGGAAAAGAATGAACGTCTTGAAAACTGCTTAGAGATGCATGGTAAGTAGTAAGTTTTCATGGAAATAGCCAAAATGGCCCTTACTATAAAAGAACTCTAAGGCATAATTCTGGAAGCAGGAGCAGCATCCACTTCCAAAATGGCTTGCCTCTGGAAACTCTATGTACGAACAGTGTTCAGGCTGTTCGTTCATAGGGTCGCTATGAGTTGTCTACGACTCGACGGCATTAAACAAGAACAACAACAAGAAGGCATAATTACAGAAAACAGTGGCACTTTCCAAAAGCCTATTTCTGATAAAGAATGTCTAATAATGATCTGCCTAAACCTCCACAGACCTTGTAGACCCAAATACTTTTGATGAACATTTACAAGACAAAGTGAGTAAAACTTCACACGGGGGGTGGGGGGGGGGATGTAAAATACAGCAATCATGTTCCAAAAAAGACAGAGCATGTGAAGACTGGATTGTTCTGATAAGCCCCTTCCCTCATTTCCTTCAATGCTCGGTGAAAAGACCTTCTTTATGTAATTGAAGCTAAATGACTAATCATCTCCTTAGTGTAAACAGCTCAACAGAACACTAAAGGCTTACATAGCATCATTTTGCACTTGGCCAAGTAGCTTCACTGCTCTTTATACAGTTACTCTGTGTGTGTGTGTGTGTGTGTGTGTGTGTGTGTGTGTGTGTACGTACGTACATGCAGGGTGTGTGTGTGTGTATGTACATGCAGTGTGTGAGTGTACATGAAAAGCGAGATTATAAAATCCTTGCGAGAAAATGGGATTGCATCTAATTCTTCTGTTTGGCCCCTAAGACACTTAATACGGGGCACTGTATACACGTATTGCTCATAGCATTGTTGACAAAATGTCCTCAGAATCATGCATGCGTGTTAAAGTAACAGAATTGAAATTTGTCCATTTATTTTCATATGCTTACTAAACAAAGAAAAGATTAAGGCAGAAAAAATGTTTTCATTTATAAACAACAAAGTCCATTCACTTAATAATAACACGCACATCACACACGTTATATCTTCTGACTAAACTTGTGCCACTGAAACACTGTTGCTGCTGGGCGCCAGGAGCCCAGGCTGGCTCACTGTAACCCTACATGACAGGGCAGAGCCGCCCCATACGGTTCTCTCGGCTATTATCTTCATGGCAGCAGATCATCAGGTGGTGGTTCCCTCAAGAAGCCTGTGGCAGGTTAGATCTGCCCATCTTTCAGTTAGTGGTCAAATGCTTAACCACTGTGCCACCACTGCTCCTTCACTAATGAATTACTAGTTGGTTATTCACACCAATCTGTGCTGGTGGAGAAAATAAAGCAAGTCTAGTTCTCAGTAGATGGGGCCTTTGTGATTTGGCTTACAACATTCCTTTTTTTCTTGTCACTGGGGTGAAAGTTTACAGAGCATTTGAGATACCCATTTAACAATTAATTCACATTTGGCTATGTGATGCTGGCTGCCATCCCCTCTTCACATTTCCTGAATTCCTCTATTTGTCATCCTTTCCTGCTCTTTCTCGTCTTCTGAGCTTTGTTCATGGGCAATGCTGCCCTTCTGGCCTCATGAAGCTGACTGGTATGAGAAGTATATTCCTCCCTAGTGGCATCAGTCATATTATCGGCCTGTCGTTTTTACAACATTCTTTAGAGTAAAAATTATAATGTATTGCCTCAGACTGTACACGGGGTTTTGGTTTTTGGGTTTTTTTTGTAACAGAGTGCTGTGTATATGTTCAATTCTTAAAAATATTTTCTAAGTAAATTATTAATGGGCTAAAAGCAAAAGGTAAACAAATCTGGGTGTGAAAGAGATGGGGAAATGAGAGAAAAAGCTAAAGAGACTCTTAGAGTGCTAACTTGTTTAGTTACTTCCAGGCTGCACACCAGAGAGAAGAGGCTGTCGGTAAGTCACGGCTGCTAAGTAAACAACTGCCTTCATAAAGATATTTAGCTGTTTCTCCTCCTCACAGAAAGGAAGTATTTTTTGTGTGAGGGGGAAAAGCACAGTCTTTTCCATTTAGAAAAGGGAGCAGTGTTTTTCACTAGCTGTGTAATGACGTCTGAGGTAATGGCAGGCATTAGTCTTTGGTTGACAGCCCAGCACATGCTGTACTGTATGCCATAGCACTCCAGAGCTTAGAGAAAGTTACAATTACCGAGGGGAAAAACACCTTTAAAAAGATAAAAATGAACAATCAAACAAAAATTATATGTGACAAGGAAAAGAAACTGTTGCATGTCAAAAACTAGTTCTGGGAGGTTAAAATGTTGGTATGCCAGCAAAACTTGAAAAATGTTAAACAAAACAAGTGTGGTAACAAACACACAGAGTTTACTGGCCAGTCTGATAACTGTTTCCGTCTTACTTTCTAACTAGCATGTTTGGAATTCCAACTCTAATGAATTTTCTGAAAGTGCTGATTCAAGAGAGAACATTTTAAAACTGAGAAACTCAATTCATTCTTGTTGGAAAAGGGGGGAAAATTCATTTTAAAAAAAGAACTCTTGACGATAGTCCTTAACTCCCTTCAAACCTGGAAGAAAACTTAAGCCTGTGACTCTACTTTCTCCCAAACAATGAGCCTGTAAGATGAACAAAATAATAATCTTTAGTACCTCAGCCCTACAGGGTCAAAAGGATAAAGCTCAGATGACATGTAAAGGTGGGTAGAAGGAGGAAAAGAAATGAGAAACACAGAGAGAAGATGGTAAGAATACATTTACGTTGTGAGTATTCCACTTAATGCTATAAAACAAAATGCAGTGAAGGGAATGGCTATATTCAATAAAGGGCAGATCGGCAAACAGTCATCAAAGAAAGGGAAGATGAGGGGGACACAGAAGTATCAATGGAAGAACAAATTCTAGGAAGGACGTGGGCAAAGTGTCACGACATTGTAGGCACTGAAATAAATGTTAATGAACAAATCAGTATGAATGGCTGAATGAAAAAGGAATTTACTTTGAAAATGAAAATCTAAATATTAAAAAATAAAAATTTAAAATAAACACAATCTAAAATGTGCATGAGTATCTGAATGGACAATCTGTTTGCTCTATAAACTTTCACTTCAATCACAATTTAAAAAATAAATGGGATTTTGCGAGAAACAATGTATTCAAACTTTGTAAATAAATCATAATAAAAATTTTTTAAAAATAAGTGTAAAAAAATAAAAAAGAGGTAGAATGGGGGAAAACAGCTGATAACAGGATACAATTAGTAAGTCTTGTCAGAAAATACAGTTTGTCTTCTGTACCAGTCAGATCTGATTTGACAGTACATGTAAAAATAATACAATAAAAATTTTAAAAAAATTAACAAAAAATAGTTTGTGGCCTTTCCTTCTTTGCAAGTGTGTCAGTTATCGATGTATCATCCTTGTGCCCTAGGCCTGCCCTCTTTTGTCGGCTTTGAGGTAACTGGCCTGTGCAGATGGCTCCATTGCCAGTCGGCACTATGTTAAACTTTGTCAGTGGAGGGCGCCAGACGACCAACACTGAAGGCAGGGATTTTTCTTTTCTTTCTAGGTCCTAGGTGCTCCTCTAGGCAGATTTCTGTAGTACCTCTGCTTTTCCCATTGTGGGAAGGAGGTCTCTGGGTAACTCTACAATTGATAAGCCCTCCCTATGAACTGTGTCGGCTAACCCCCTGAGTTCTGTGGCACAGTCCCTCCCTGCAGGCAATTTCCCACAGCACCCTAGAGAATGAGTTTTCCTGTGAGTGCCAGCAAGGCATGTCCTGATGTACAGCATGCCCTGGTACTCCTTCAGCCAGCTCTGCAGCCTCAGAGACCTTTTCCACCATCCAGAGGAAGACAGGATCTGGCTCAGCCCTCGGCCTGTGGCTCTCTATCTTCCTAGGGTACTCTTTCTCAGCTCTTCTGGGGTGACTGTACCCTGTATCTTCTACTCCTATATTCCTCAGAGTTCTCTTTACTCTTAAAATACAAACTCCTTTTACTCCAGTTTCCTACTACATATAAATGCATAAAAAACTTTCTCTTTTCAAATAAATGTCTCGTAATTAGATCCTAACTAGATACATGTTTTGCAGTCAACTCAATAGCATGTTACAAGATACATATAAAGGCATTCTTGGTGGCCTAGTGGGTAAACAGTTGTGCAGGCAGCCCAAAGTCACAAGGTTCAAATCTACCAGC